CAGTACATGCTGACGTTTTGTATGTTAAATGTAAAAGCAAAATGTGTGAATGTGTGTGTCTGCGACACGCAGTTTGTTAAAAAGGGAATAGGGCGATTCTAAAGTAATCTACAACCCATGATTCCTTCGCAACGATTGCAGAGAATCGCTTCTTTTCGCGCTTGGGCTACATTTTTAATTACAGAGTTTTATTTGCATTGGTATGTTATGTTTGAAAGTTTTCAGGAGTTTTTATTTATATTTTTGCCCCGGTCAACGCCGGATATTTCCCATTCGTAGCAGTTTATATCGACTCTATAATCAACTTATTTTAAACGGGAACAGGGCGATTCTAAATGAATCTATAACCATCGATTCCTTTGCACGATTCAGAGAATCGATTCTTGGCGCGTCGGGTTTAAAAGTAATTACACAGTTGTATTTTCATTGGAATGTTATGTTTTATATTGTTCAGAAGTTTTTAAATGTATTTTTCACCCGGGCAACGTTGGGTATATCGAGTTTATAGCACAAAGTGCTCGCCTGACACGTGTGGGGTGTCGAGGCCTAGTACCGTGCAGAGCCTCCGGCCTCGCCTGGATTGCCCAGCCGGCCGAGGCTGGGTATTGGGGTCGCCTCCCCCCCCCCCCCCCCCCCCCCCCCCCCGCGCTAGAATAATACTGTCTAATCGCTATAATTTTATTATCTGCAGACCCTATAATAGTAATTGCGCACACTGGAGTGGGGGGGGGGGAGTGAAGAGGACGTGAAACTTTGATGTATTTACCTCAGCGTCGCGTGTTAATGCGTGTGCATATTTTTAACGGGAATTAAAAATGGCGTCCACCCCGCAGCGAAGGCGTCGCTACCCGTTGCCAGGGGCAACCGCCGTGGTCCGCGCCGGTCGGCAATAATAAATAAATAAAGATAATTCTCACAAAATCGATAATCGGACCGATTTATGCCTACGTTCACCGCGGGACCGGGGGCGTGCCCACCTGCAAAAATTTTTCCTCCTAAACCCCACGGCCCGAGCGCCAAATCCCTCAAAGCGAGCGTACGCAGAGGGACAGGCGGACAGACGGACAGACAAAAAATGAATTATATAGGTTATATTTTGTCACGCTCGTTTACCCCGGGGGAGCCTCGCTGGGCGCCCACACTCGTGTTTCAGGAGGGTCCTGCTAAGTTTTAACAGTTGGTAGCGGGGGGGGTGTGACAGCATTTGATTTGTACATTTGTAATGCGGGCGTAAATGGGCAGGTCGGATGTGACGATCCGAGAGGGAGGAGTCAGGGTCACGTGGGGGAGAAGTTATAGCGGGGAGACAGGAAGACATCGGGGGCAGTCGGGGGAGTGAAGAGGGGAGACCACGTTGGGTGGTCGCCGTGCCTCAGCCTGGTGGCTGAGGGGCTCATGACGGCGCCAGCCAGCGGGGTGGAAGAGAGAGTTGGGGATAGAGACAGGGAGAGGCCACGCAGGGCGGAGGTTGGAGAGTGGCGAGATCGCCACAGAGGCCACGCAGGGCGGAGGTTGGAGAGTGGCGAGATCGCCACACACGGTAAGACTCGGCACCGTCGGCCAGCGGTGACCGAGCACGGAGGAACGGGGAGCAGCGGTGGAGCTGCTGTTAGAGCAGCCGGAGGACTGCACAAGGGGAACCTGCAGCGGAGCTGCACCGGAGCGAGAAAGGCTACGGGAGCGAAGGCAGAGGTCGAGCTGCCAAGCGGGGGAGGCTCTGAGCGAGGGCCGTGTGGGACAAGTGTAAAGAACCCAAATAAAGGACAACGGAGACAGACCCAGTGAACGAGTCCTTTATTACACTGGTGTCAGAAGTGAAACGGCATGTCAAAACAGCTCCGAAGAAAGAATATTCCTGCGCCATCATCTGCTACATCATCCGACGACGACGACCTTCCTCAGGTGGTGGACCTGCCTGCGATGGAGGAGGAGATCCGTGCGGGAACGAGTACGGGTCCGGGAGTCCAAGATGTCGCCGCGTCGGTGGACCCGTCTGCGCCGGAGGACGCGGACTTACGATGGAGACAGATGGCGGCGCAGCTGGAGACCTTGAAAATCGTGCTGGCGCAACTGTGTGAGCTCGTCACGACGGCATCGGGGAGGCCCGGTGGTGATCCGCAGGCCTCCGCCTTGCCTGCGCTGCCAGCGCCATCTGCCACGCGGCACGAAGACGCCATCTTGGGCGTGGCAGGGGAGAAACGGCGGGAAGCCGCCATCTTGTCTTCACCGCGGCGGGAAGACGCCGCCGTCTTCAACATCGCGGCGGAGAGGCGGCCTTGCGCTGCCATCTGGAGGTGCCGCGGGGTGAGCAGCCTGCTGTGAGCTGCTGTTTTGCGAGGAGGAGCTGCGAGGAGAGGACGCCGACGCCGCAGCTGCTGGGGCGGGAGCTCTCCCGTCCTGGCTCGGGTGCGAGACAACGGAGCAGTCAGGTCATCGTTCGAGTTCTGCGAGGCGTCTCAAGTTACCACCCTGCCGTCCTCTGCTCGCTGCAGCCCCGGGCGAGTCGTAACGATACGCACCCGGCCTTAACACACACCTCACCCATCTAGCGTGTGCCGGGGGGCGATTTTTGTCATGTTTCGAGCGTGCGGAGCGCGGTTCGGGCTGTGTGTGTGTGTGTGTTCAGGATGAACGCGCTATTTGTTGTTGCTCGGTGTCAATTAGTGTGTATGTGTGTGTGTGTTGAGGATGGACGGAGAGTCTGCTGTGCTTGCTGAGTGTCAAATAGTGTGTGTGCGCTGCGGCGTGGAGTTGTTATCTTGATGGCAAAGTTAATTATTAACTCGGGAGTGTCGGGTATCCTGCGCTGTACCATCTCGTGGGTTACCGTGTGCGACGGGCTTAATTGACAAAATATTTTTTTTGGTGTATTGTGCTGCAGGGTGCCGTGTGCGATGTGGGTGTTGCAAGAGAGAGAATATTTGTGTTGTTGCTGCAAAGTTACGACAGGATTAATGGTGTGTTGGTTGCCTGCAGATCTGCTTGCTATTGTGCTTAAATGTACGCGTGTGATCGCGATATGCTGACTGCATGTGCTGTTTACGCCGTTCTGTACGGTTACGGGGTGTGATGCATTGGTTGACTATTGGGGTTGGGATTGTTATTAATTGTGCGTACCTGTTTGGAAATTGGTAACAAATTCGAGGGGGACCCAAAAATTTGGTTGTATGGGTGTTTATGCACACGAGATTGCGTGTATATTTATAGGTAATTGCGCTTTTTGAGAGAGAGAGCGCGCGACGAGGGTGCGCGATGACGCCGTTGTGGGTGGCTCAGATGTTAAGGGTGATGGGGTCGTAAATTGGCGCCAAGTGGCGTCACTCATTCGGTTGATTGCATGCAGCCAGGGGTTGCTTTGCGAGTTGGTGTGTGTAAGCAATGTGTAAAATATTGGTTAAAAATTCCCCGACATGACTGCTGTGCGCAGCAAGCTGGGGCTGTGCGTCTATCATTGGTGGGGTTGTTACAACGTGACGGGGGATGCGTCTTGTGACCCCCAGCAAAGGGCAGCTGGGGTGCACGCACGGGGAAAACTGGTGACGTTTTTGCACGTTGGGCCACCATTTTGCGCGCACGCGGGGTATTGCGACGATGCGCTTTGCGCAAGGGGCCGCCATTTTGAGTGCGCGCGAGATATTGTGAGAACGCGCTTGGCGAAGGGGGCCGCCATTTTGATCGCGCGGGAAAAACCTCGGTGGGGCAAATATTCCATCTGTTTATGCCTGCCATTGTTGATTGGGTGATGCACGAGTTGTGGTCACATCGGCCTATGGCTGATGGCTGACCTGACAGCTCGGAGGCGAAACCTCCGTGGTATGTCTCAAACTAATGGGCCGTGTGCTCATATGGCTCGGGGAGTCATGGTTGCGGTGGCAGACTGAACCTGGTGTGCCGGGGGCTCACGGGATTGGAGTAGAGGGTTTGTTACGTGCCAGCGAACGGGGTGACCTGGCTAGCATGGAGCAGGGATTCTCTATGCGGGTCCTCCAGCGGGAAGGGCTGCGGACTTGTTCCGCTCTGGGGTTAGGGCGTTATTGACTCTATAAGAGAACATTGCCCCGTGGGGGGGGGGTCGTTGGTGTCTGGCCTTGCCGAGGGATTAATCTTCCCTTGGCTATACAGCGTCAGACTGTAAGATGCTGGTGTGTGTCCATCGCTGATGGGATAGTAAGGGAGGAGCATGGCCGAGTTGCTGCTCATCCCCGAAATTGCACTGGCCGAGAGTATGATCAGTGGATGTTGCTGTGGTTTGACGACCACCGTGAGGGTTAGGACGAGTTAAACGTTACCGCTGGGGAGCGTGGCTCTCTCCACGCGGGGGTGTGCGACTGGGGGCTTTGCTGAGAGTGACCGTGGGTACATGCTGTGTACGTGCGATGTCTGTGCTGGTCCTCAAGGGAGGACTGCTGGTGGGCAAGAGCAGGAAATTTTGTTGTTGTTGTTATCACGTGTAAATAATATTGTTGTTAAAATGTAAATACTGGGGCATCCATCGCGTCTATTTGGGTATTTATGGGGGTTTTCTTAAGCGGGCCGGATTTACATCATCTCCACTACCCTGGGGCCGGGTGGCTGTCGTGTACGACATGTGGATGTGCGTTGTGTGCCTCAGGGGATTGGATTCTCCTTCTCGTCACAGATCTTCGGCGCCTGCCACACTGGGTGTTACCTGGTGTGCTAACTGGATGAGGACTTAAAGGAGCAATCGAGCGCCCGTTCGTCATTCCTGCTCTGCCACTTGCTCTTTGATGTTGGACTTGAGCCGAGCCGATGGAACAGCAACATGGACACGCTCTAAGACACCACCGTGATGCCCGGCACACAATACAATGGGCCCCCACGCAGTTTGGAATGACATGGCGGGATCTTTAACGTCCACTGCGATGTCCAACCGCAACGACGAGTCGAACCGCGACACCGATGGGCCACGCCGCCGCCGCCCGTGACACGTGACGGTTGCCCCACCCCGATCCCCCCCCCCCCTCCCCCCCACTGTGTAGGAGAAGCCATGGAACAGGGCCTCCGGGACTGCTGCCGCTCAATCCGCATTGGCAAGATCCTCATCCAGAGCGATGAGGAGACGCAGAAGGCCAAGGTGTACTACGCCAAGTTCCCGCCGGACATCGCGCGCCGGAAAGTGCTGCTCATGTACCCCATCCTCAGTAAGTTTGCAACCGATTTCACCGCCCACTGCCAAGGCTCGGAGGCTCTACAAACAGCGGTGGGAAATCTGCGTTCCCACGGAGCCCCTCCTCGTGGTGGCTCGGTCTAAGTGTTTCTAAGGCAGCTGTCGGCAACCAAAATAACAAGAAGAGCCATTTTTAACGAATTCGGTAAAAAAAATTATTTCCAGAGTCGCAATGCAAGTGACCACAAGGCGTTCCTTCCTGAATAATGTCAAACCATTTTTTCTACGGTCCCTATTTCAAGAACAGCACATGCACAATCATTTGTAATGCCGCACTACAAATCATTGTTGGACTTTTAGGCGTTCACCGTTTATCGAATGTAATAAGGATTGTTGATTTTTTTTTTACTTCAAGTGGCGGTGACGTCAACACTGCGGTTGTGCCAGACCAGGTGCACTTTGAGGCCACGTGAAGTGTTGACAGGAAGTCACTGGGATGGACCGCCAGGTGCCATGGGTTGACTGAGATAACTGGCAGATGTGTAGTGGGTTCTAACCCGGCGCACACCAAGTCTTGGAGGCAACACGTTTATTTACCGACACAACTTGAACCACTAACACAACCAACAACTACTCAACATTCCAAGGTTAACTATGTACATTTCGGGCAACTATGTACATGACGGGTTAACTGCGCAAGGTGGTTGCCACCTTTCTTAACCACTTGAACAGAATCCCTATATGGTTGAATCAGAACAGCCGACACACCGTCTGGTCGTCGTGTGCGGAGACCGAAGAGCGAGGATCGAAGAAGGCGGCTTCATTCCCGGGGCGACCAGCCCCGCTCCCTCTTGGGACTCGACTTATACCGCCCCTGGTCACGCCCCCTGGTCACGCCCCCTTCTCGATCCTTCGTGGAGGCTCTGGGTCCACATCACGTGGCCCGCTCACCCCCTTCTGGGGGTCCCCGTGCCCTCTCGTCCGGTCACGTGCTCTTGCGGGTTCACACAGACTGTCATGTCCTGACCTGACCTCTGTGACATCTGTAACCTGCTCTCTAGTGAGCCCCGAGGTGTAGTACACCCACTGGCGCCATAGAACGGCTCATTTATGTCCCAACAGATGCACCAGCTGTACGCCCTACTGTGCCAACTCGCTGCATTTTAGCCGCCCCGGTGCTCCGCTCGTTGCGAGCCCCAAATGTGCGCACACAAGTTCACACGTAGACCTCAGGTCACTTGTGCCACTGCGAGCATCGGGGGAGGAGGTTTGAGCTCGGGGCCTGTGTGTGTGTGTGCGCGTGTATCACAGGCACTGGCAAATACGGTGATCGAGGCAGTCGACTCAGCCTGAAATGAGTACCTGGTGTGGTGTGTAAAAAAATATCACCACCGGGGAGATGAAAAGGCGGTCGGGCGTGGTGCTGGCCATCAACCGCCTCGTACCATGTCGGCCTTGATAGGTGCTCGCTCTTAACTGCACTTGCCGCAACAGTCTGTGAAGGCTATGCGAGGATCTTTGTCTTGGTTTGTTTTTTGTGCGTGCGTCGCAGGCACTGGCAACACGGTGATTGAGGCGGTCAAGGTGCTCATCGAGCACGGGGTGCCCACAAAGCACATCTTCCTCCTGAGCCTCTTCTCCACGCCACACGGTGAGGCCCTCCTATACGTGAAAAAATAAATACGTGAACAACATTTCGATTTAAAGCTTTCGTGACTGCAGGGATTCATCTTCTTGGTTCTTTCGGTAAGGTCACGTAGAAGGGAAGTAATAAAATAATAAAAATAAAACATAATAAAATAATTCTCACGAAGTTTCGGCCACAACGCAAGCAGCCGTCCTCAGGTGAAGAACAGGTCTGTTGGAAAGACAGCGTCTGAATGAAAAAACGCTGTCCTTTTCTGACAGACCTGTTCTTCACCTGAGGACGGCTGCTTGCGTTGTGGCTGGAAACGTCGTGAGAATTATTTTATTATGTTTTATTTTTATTATTTTATTATTTCCCTTCTACGTGACTTTACCGAAAGAACCAAGAAGAAGGTAATAGTTTTATTTTGCGTTCATCCCAGTGGGCGCTGTAGGGCGGAGAGCTCGGTCTGGAGCCGGCTCAATGCCCGAGTGATGGGTTACAGCTGACATCGCTGCAGGAATTACTCTTTGGTTCTTTTGGTAAAGTAATATAGAAAGAGAAAATAATAAATTAAATAAAAGTATGCTTTTTTAATTTATTATTTTTAGGTTTTTTCAGTAAAATCACGTAGGTAAAAAATAAAATTAATAAAAGCAAAATACAAATTTTTTTACCTACGTGAGTATGAATCCTTGCAGTCATGAAAGCTTCAAATCTAGAATTCATTATTTTCTCTTTAAATTAAATAAAAGAATGCTATTTTTTTGTTTATTATTCCCTCTTTAAATTAAATAAAAGTATGCTATTATTTAATTGCTTACTTTCTCTTTAAATTAAATAAAAGTATGCTATTATTTAATGTATTACTTTCTCTTTAAATTAAATAAAAGTATGCTATTATTTAATTGCTTACTTTCTCTTCCTACGTGACTTTACCCAAAGAACCAAAGAGCAAACCAAATCTGTACTTGCTTGTGGTAGAGACCGACTTTTGACACTCGCGCAACGGTCTTGCTGGGCGATTCGTAGCTGCGACACGTCTCGCCCCTCCGTGCACACGGCGACGATTCGCCGAGGCGGATCGATGCCGTGACGCCCGTGTACGGAGCGGACGCGGTCCCGCTGACTTCGTGTGGCGCTCATTGCCTCGTCTCTGCGCGCTTTGTCGCCGGCAGGAGCGAAGTCGATCATTCAGGAGTTTCCGGACATCACGGTGCTTACCACGGAGGTGCACCCCATCGCTCCGACTCACTTTGGGAAGAAATATTTTGGGACCGACTGAGTGGGGGAAGAGAGAGGGAGGAGGGAGAGTGAGTGAGACTCCCCCCTCATGGCTGCATGTGGTGGCTATGGGCATTTTCTTGACGTTTTGTTTTATTATTTAACATTTTCACGTGAACTACAGGGTGATCCATTCATGTTGTGACGGGACATTCTCCCCATTCCTCAGTCTTTGATGCGCGTTCGTTTATGTTTTTAATTCGAACGCGCGTCATAGAATATTTTGATTTCGCTTTTCTTTGCAGTGGCACACTTTCCATGCGTCGTCTCCTGCAACAGACGTGTGCGTGGGGCGGCGTGTGTGGGGAGTGGTAGTGTAGCGTCGGCACGCTGTGCTACGAACCCGGCGACCAGAGTTTGACAACACCAGTGACGATTATCTAAACTGGTCCTGGGCCCTCCCTATATTGACTCAGCCTCAAATGAGTAACTGGTGCAGTGTGTAAACATCGCCACGAGGGAGACAAAGGCGTTTGGGCGTGGTGTTGCCCACCCAGCCGCCCGTTTGTGCTGTGCCGGCCCTCATAGGTGCAACTCGCTAACAGCACTTGTCTCAACAGTCTGCTAAGGCTATATGGGGGATCTTTGTCTTAAGGGGGTGTGAGAACCACAGATCCGTGAATCGCCACCCACGCTTTCACCTTCTCCGTTCCTCTGTAACATATGGAGCCATGACTTCCAGAAAATTCGGTCGAGGCATCAACTCGTTCGTACATTTGGTAGTCGTGCCATTCACCTACAGCGCAAAGTGATCACCAACAGATAGTTGGCAGTAGTTTGTGACCAACAATTTGACCAAGTTCTGTAGTGGGAAGAGACCGGAGCACAGAGAAAACCCACACGTGCAAGGGGGAAACGCTCTATCCCATGCAAGCGGAGCATGTGTCGTCCAAATTTGCTGTACCACCTCCTGGCGAGCCTTACATTGGGCGCCACCTCGACACCCACGGGAAGGGAGTTTCACATTGTGTGCGCACGAGCCACAAAACCATTGCCCCGTGACGTTAGTTATGAATGGATCACCCCGTATCTTCCAAAGGGTTCTGAATGAGTTTGGTGGAAGGCACAGGAGACGGATGCGCTGTGTGTGCCAGCATTTGAGCCAGGCACTCGCGTGTAGATCGCACTGCAGCCTCGAACCGGTCATCTGTGACTACCACCCTGCAACAAAAACTGCCATTGTAGAAATGAGTTTTTGGAAATTATTTTGCTCAGATTATATGTTTATTAACATGTTTTTATTTGTAAATGTTTTGAAGGTGATGGTCATATATATATCTATATTTCTTTTGACTGGCACCTTGAAACTAAAATGGATTTGATGCAAAAGTCAAGCCCCGCACTCCCACCGATAATATAATCCGACCGAGTGGATTAATCTCTCGGAAAGGTTTGTATGTTTCGATTTAATGCTTTCGTGACTGCAGGGATTCATCTTCTTGGTTCTTTCGGTAAAGTCACGTAGAATGGAAATAATAAAATAATAAAAATAAAACATAATAAAATAATTCTCACAACGTTTCGTCCACAACGCAAGCAGCCGTCCTCAGGTGAAGAATGAATTCATTCTTCACCTGAGGACGGCTGCTTGCGTTGTGGACGAAACGTTGTGAGAATTATTTTATTATGTTTTATTTTTATTATTTTATTATTTCCATTCTACGTGACTTTACCGAAAGAACCAAGAAGAGGTTTGTATGTGTTATGCTCTCAAGCGACTACGACTGCCTGTTACTCTTTGGGTTTTACCGTCTAGATGCTGTTTTGCCACACCATAGGAGTTTGCGAGGCTTGTACTACAGATGATGCTGCTGCTGCTGGTTGCGGATTGCAATAGAGTGAGCACAAGTGGGGGGGAGGTTACAGGGCAAGTAGTCTTTGCACGTGGTTTTGTGTGATGGGTGAGGGGGGAAGTGTCTGACACACGTGTCAAACTCGAGCCAGTGTGTCTTAACGCCACTTTTTTCCCACCACTGGCGCATCCGAGCAGAGCCAGCGCAGCTCTGGCGGGTTTTTTGCCCCCTCCCTGCTGCATATTTGCCGTGCAGACACCGAGGCTTGCTAGCGATGGCCACACGAGAAGACGGTCCGAATCTAGCTGGTGGCCAAGCAGGGTCCTGGGAGCGGGACTCGTGCGACGTCGGTGTAAACGCGCCACGAGGGATGTAGCGTCGCAAGCTCATACGTTGCGGTTGACAACGACCATGTCAGCGGCACGGCTCTGCCGTGGAAAAACAACCTGAGCCATGCTCGGCTGGCTTGGCACGGTGACTGGCCGTGGATAAGTCGCGACTTGGTCTTCAAACCATCAAAATCGGATGTTGTCCCGGTTTGAAGTACCGTACACAAAGATTGTGACTTAAGTACGATTCATCGATTGTAAAGTCGCTTCTTGCAATCGCGATACACGGATTGGAGCGCGCGTATGAGAATCGGCAATTTACTCGTTATGGAAATGGTGTGCGTATGGTATAGTAGTATTGTTACAATCACGTTCATGGACGGAGCCAGCAAAACTCCACGAGACAAAGGGAATAATAGAAACGAGACCAAAAAATATTATTTGTTGAATTGATTGGCAACTTCTAGATTGCAGTTATGCATGGCATTATTGGCTGGCGGTGGAGGGGGGGTGGATTATGAAAGGCCTACTGTATACTAGAGATGTACCGATGCATTGATTTATCAATTAAAATCCGTTCTTAACCTGACGATATACATCGAATGTCACTGATTCGTAATAAAATGTATAACGCGTGCGGCATTTAACTGAAAAGGTCTTGCAGAGGCATGGAAGACAAAAAGCAATAGTCTTCGGATTTTGACAGCAGAACGATGCCGATGAGCAAGGCGGTGAAAGAAGGGGAGCTGAGCTCCAGAGGACAGCAGCTGTGACGGAGAACCGACGTTCACCTAGTCAGCTGCGAGATACTTTTGGGGCGAGGAGGAGGGAGGCAGCCGCTTGAGGCGCAAGAGAAATAGGATGACCCGGAACAAATACTACATCAACCGGCTCGCAGAAGTCATTTTATGTTCACGTTCTTATCGTGAGCCATGAGCTGTCTACTGCTCGATAAAGCCTCCCCCCCCACACCCCAAGCTGTGAAACAACTTAACGCTGGATTGTTTCACAAACTAGTGAACTACATGATACTTTTTATTTTTACCAGGTAAGGCCCACTGAGCTATTTAGCTCTTTTTTTGGAAGTGACCTGGCTATTTCAAATGATAGCTCGGCAAAGTGGCTTATTACGTGGGTAATTATAGCGGCCAAATACTCTAAAACGCACGTTTCTCAAATGTGGAGGGGAAAAACCAGAGGACCCGGAGAAAAGTCCACGTGACCAGAGTGAGAAGCAGTGAACACGCAAATTTCGAAATATACAGCAGCAGGCGTCGGGGTCGGGATCGAACCCACGACCTGCATACCAGACGAGGCAGTTAACACATTCCTGCGGAGGGAGCTGGTAGGAACGTTGAGTTGCTCGGTCAATGGCCAGGGTCAACGGCGGCGTGGTGTATTCCGCAAATATGGCCGAGTGTGAGGGTGGGCACAAGCCGGCGTGAGTAGGTGAAACGTTGAGTTTTATAAGGGCACCACGGGGTGACCAGCCCCTATCCACCCAGCCCCACCCAGCCCCACCCCCTGTCGCCGCCTTCCCACGTGGTCTCGCGAAGCATCAACCAATCCGGATGGTCCACGCGAGCTGCGGAATCCCCCCACCTCCCCTCCCGGTGTTGCCACTGTGGCCAGCCCCGCTGTACTGCCGTCGCCTCCTTTGCCCACACGGCTCTGCAAGTTCAAGGAGCCCCCCCCCCCCTCCCTGAACCGGCCTTCGTTCCTTCCAGCCCCAAAGTGTCCTCCCGACGATTTAAAGCTTTCGTGACAGCAGGGATTCATCTTCTTGGTTCTTTCGGTAAAGTCACGTAGAAGGGAAATAATAAAATAATAAAACATAAAATTATTCTCACGACGTTTTGGCCACAACGCAAGCAGCCGTCATCAGGTGAAGAACATGTCTGTCGGGAAGACAGCGTCTGAAATCATTTCACATTCGTCAAAATAATGCTGTGTGCGACTTTACACGGACAGGGTCGCACCTGGGAGGCAATCGCATCGATTCATTTGTAGGGAGTTTGATTTGTGCTCCTGCGCCACTGCCAAAATCACGCGTTTTACTTTCCTCATGCCGGTCAATGCAGCGTATTCACGTGCGCGTGGTGGCTCTTTAAATAAGCCAACGTCATACATTTCCGGGCCCCAATTCCCAAACCCGCGCATTTTTTTTTATTCTTTATATTAAGTTCACTTGCGCGCTTGCTTGCTTGCTTACGACCGTGCAAATCTTTCGGTCGTTTTTTAACCCACTTCCCGTGATCCAATCTAGCTGACATTTTCCACACAGACTTGTTGTGCGTGACAATTAATGTTTGTGAAAAATTGTTTCCTAAATTTTACACTTTTTAGGACAAAAATATTATTTAATTACCAATTGCTTAATGGTGCCATGCAGTCATCTGACCCATAGGTGGCAGCCATCTCAAGCCAGAGGACGAGAGGACTCTATCCGCCACGCATATAAAGGATTTATAGTGAAAAGCGTTGTTTTTACGGGTTAATTTTTTGTTCACAGCGCTCTGTGCACGCGTTTCAGATTTTTGTCAGCGTCCTCTGATCCCGCGTGCCTGCCGCTCGTAATCAGCGCGGATTAGGAACGGCGCTCTTTAACGTCACCGTCTTTCATTATAAAGTTCAGCTTTCAAATAGCACTCCATCCCCGTGTGCATTCGTTATGTAATCTTGCTTTTCAGTTATCTACCGTGGCTCTTAAAAATTGTCCTGCGTCTTCCAGTTGTGTGCCTTCGATTGGTTAACGAACTTGTTTTACACGTTATTAAAAACTCACTTTCGTCAATACATATCGATATTTCAAAGAACGTTGCTTGGCTGGCTTGGCGTGCAGATTATCGGCATAAGGCACTACCACTGGAGTAAAATATACTCCTATTCCATAATAATCCAACGACATGTTACCCAGTATTATTTAGTACGATATATCCCTTTAATTCGATGTTATATACCAGAGGATCATCGATACTCATCTAAATCAGCTCAGTAATCCTGTAAATCACGTGCCTCCCGTGTGACCACGCCTACTCTGAACCCCGCCCACTCGTTTGGCAATTAATTATTCCACCCTTTTCTTCACGTCCCAATGATTTCGCATCTCAGTTTAGCGCGTAGTAGGTGTTCCCAACCAATATTACCTGTAAGAGGTTTCGATGTTAGAAAACGTAACTATAGAACATTGTCGTTAAACGCACCACCACCCGACACAGCCAATTAGAAAGGATTGTCACGTAAACATAATTGGCATGTTTGGTCTACGTAATAAACCTTATTAATTGGCGATGCTGGGTTGTGGCGGGTTTAACGGCACATTTAACCCAAAAACCTCCATCGTGCATAGTTTCGCGTCTCTCTTCCCTATCCCCGTTACTTTTTCTGCACATCATACACTCGACCCTCTTCTCCCCTTCCCGTGGTGCGCCACGGGTACAGATCTTAGATTTTTTCGGGAAAGTCACGTAGGTAAAAAATTAAAATTAATAAAAGTAAAATAAAAATCACGACGTTTCGGAGGCAACACAAGCTTCCGTCTTCAGGTGGAACCGTCACAGCACGATAGCTCTTACTTGATACAGCTATCGTGCTGTGACGGTTCCAACCTGAAGACGGTAGCTTGTTGTTGCCTCCGAAACGTCGTGATTTTAATTTTAAATTTTATTTTACTTTCATTAATTTTAATTTTTTAACTACGTGACTTTACCGAAAAAAACACATAAGAATATGAATCCTTGCAGTCACGAAAGCTTCAAATCTAGAAGAAATAGGGTACAGATCTCTTCGTGAGGAGGACAAACCAAGGCAGGCGAGGTGGATGTTGCGTCGCGAAATCTACTTCACACATTAACCGTTTCGGACCGTAACCGATTGAAAAGTGTTCGCTGGTTGTACCCTACGGGATAGAGAACGCGAGTGACAAAGCCACGGAGACCAGAGGCCACGACCACGTGCACATCTTTCGGCGTTCACCAATTGACTCCCCCCCCCCCCATTCAAATGTAAAACTCTGTCGTTCCACTCAGCTGCATTCGCCCGATGATTGATAAAATCACTCCCCGCGTGACGCGCTCGGCAATTAGCGCAAAGCCTGCACACGTGCACCACGTGGAACAAGGCGTACGTGGGACACGTGTTGCACGCGCACAGATCTCAATTTTAATTTGAAGCGGCTGGAGAAAGGAGGGAATGGAAGGGTATTAATTCTAGATTTAAAGCTTTCGTGACTGCAAGGATTCATATTCTTGGGTTTTTTCGGTAAAGTCACGTAGGTAAAAAATTAAAATTAATAAAAGTAAAATTACAATAAAATAAAAATCACGACGTTTCGGACGTTTCAAGTGATACAGCAAGCGTGCTGT